GCCGTTTTTATATTGATTCTTAATGCCATAAATTTATGCAAAACATGCACAAAAATATTATTTTTTGTACTTATTTGAGGGCCAATCATGGCCCCACTCAAATTTTTACAGAATGAGAAAGAAAATAAGGCGTATTCATGTTTTTAAAAATTTTCCCATTCCTGAATAATTTGGAGTTCGGTCTGTCGTTGCATTTGCGCTTTGGAGTTTTGGAATATAAGCTGTATTCTTTCAGTGTAAGGACTAGTATGCATTCTACTATGCCATACAGAACATATTATATAATGTTTATGCAAATTTTCAATGCGGCCTATGTCACACACAATGAGGGGCCTTGGCAAACGAACAGATACAACACGAGTCGAATAATCATTGCACTGTCCTAAAAACCAAATACTCATATACTTAAAAAACAGGCATCCGTCGAGTATATGATTGGAATAAGACGCGACTGGTTATCAAATGCGCACAAGAATGAATACTTTTTGTATGTTTTGCCAAACATATATTTGAACATCTGAGGCCATCGAAAATCGATTATCGCTATCCCAATCCTTCTTAAATAATCTTTCTTGATTGAAAACGCATCTCAGATATTTGATTAACATTTCATAAGATCAGTCACTAGCTATATAGTTGGCGGACGACACCAGTTTCTTACCTTTCTTGCGAATAGTTCTAGGATATAGTAAATAGTATAGGCAGATAGTATTGCCGACAAAGATAAGGGAGACTGGAATGACCATTTCTGGCTTATTAGCTATCATCATCCAGCCATACTATCTGCCTACACTACCAGCTGCTAAGGCAGTCAGTGCCTCTGTCGATGCTCCAAGCAGAGCGGGACAAATGAGTCCCATTAGCGGTCGGCGAACGTTCATAAATGAGTATAGTAAGTAGTCTTGTCTTAAAACTCGCCCAAGATCAACGTAGACGTGTTAAAAAAGCCAGGTTAGACTGAAAGCTAATCACTCCACTGATATAACCACCACATTTTAACGTATTCCGTGAACGTAGCGACCGCTTCAATGTCATCGTTGAATGCCGTTCACAGTGCCTACGAGAACAGTGCCAGAAAAACCAACCCCAATAAGATCCTCCCATAGTAAAGCGCACATTTACGAGCTCTGTTTTTACCACTAATCCGCAAATATTTTGGACACAGAATCTTGCCCGTAAGCTATTATGATTATAAGTTGCATCCTATAGATGAAGTAACTCCCCGTTTTTTGTCATATGGAGTTTCACACAATTTCTTTTCCAGTGGTTGTATGGCCTACACTGTCACCAAGAAAATAAGGAAGGCGAGTAAGCTCTCAAACGAACCATTGTCGGTATAGATAGCCAAAACTGAATCACTTCACTCCTCCATACCCCTCAGAATATATCATATAGTGGCCATGCAAATTTTCAATGATGACCATATTTTATACTTTATGCGGGGCATTAGGACAGATACAATGCGATTAGAGTGGTTGTTGTACGGTCCTAAAAATCTCATTATTATAAACTTAATTGAAATAAGACGCGATTTGTTATCAAATGAGTACAGAAAGGAATATTTTTGTGTAGGTTTTGTCTAAAATTTATTTTGAACATATAAGGTCATCGAAAACCAATAGAAAAAGTGCATAACATTTGAAGAGTCATTTTTGTGTGAGTACAGTTTTCACAGGCGGTCGAAGGGGTACACACTCAAAAACTAACACCCTGGCATGGAGCATAGTATTACTCACCAGTGCTCCAATCCCACTTGAGTAATCTTTTTCTCAATTGAAAACGTACTAAAGAACTTCGATCAACATTTAATCAGATCAGCCACCTGCTGTGTAGTCGGTGGACGACCGTTCCAGTGTGTGATTTTTGTTGGGAATAATACTAGGCTATAATAAATAATGGTGTCGTAAAACTAACTCAAGCTCAATGTAGACATGCTAAGAAAACAAGGTTAGACTGAACTATAACTAACAGATTTCCCCGTATTCCTTGAGGGCAGCGACCAATTACACCATTTCAGCGCCATCATTGAGCGCTGTTCCTAATGTCAGCGATAACGATGCCAGCAAAACCAATCCCCAATAATGTTATTTAACGAGCACATGTATGATCTTTGTTTTTAGCACTAAGCCCCGAAATCATTTGTGCACGGATTCCTGGCCATAAGTTATTATGGCCATAGGTTGCACCCTATCAATGAATTAAGTCTCCGTTTTGTTGTCATATAGAGTTCACACAATTTACTTTCCTACTATTTTATGGCATAGACTGTCAACAAACAAATGAGGAAAGTGAGTAAGTATAACCAAAATGTCGACTGAAGCACCTCAGCCCAAAAAACCGAGTATGCGAACATACAGCTGAAGGTATCATTTCCGAGATTTGTAATCATATGCAATCGTATATCCAACGACCGTAAGTAGTTACCATTCAAGCGTGGACCTAGGGGGAGGGGATCGTTGGTATATTTCAGTCTTTTCATGCCAAAAGTAATCCATTGACAGATGGAGCGGCCGACGGTGCTTTTTTAGCTTATTCCATGAAATGGTTATTGAAATTCCGAAATGTGTATTCGATTAGAAAGAGGTACTTAAGTGGATTGTAGCACTGATTATCATAGGGCAGGATCAAAAGATATTCTAGACACGCCAGACACATTGGCTTTAGAATTAACTGTCCGACAGTCTGTTAAAACTGCAAACGGTAGAAAACACTACTCATTTAGTATGCATTCATTCCATTTATTTTCGATACTCTTATAAGTTCAACTAGATCTGCTGGAAAAGATACACACCATATTGTCTTTTGTGGGGACTTCGTAGAAAATCACATCTCCTCAACAATTTATACTTGAAGAAGGTTGATCTTTCCGTTTATAAAAAGTCTGCAATTATGAGACCTTTTAAGACCATAAAATGTCCATTCGTACGGCATCTTGTCTGTCCGTTTATCATAACTGCTCATAAAGTATATACCATGGCCCATATACCCTGCAAAATTTTATTAGTCCTATAATGCGTATTTATAATAGCCTGAATGAATAAATGATTCTCCTTATTCGCAAAGGATACGTTATGCAGGTTGGAACCACAGGTCAGGGTAAAAGTTGTTAGGGGATTAAAAAGGTTCTTTAAAACCGAAAAAAATACCCTTCTTAAGGTAAACCTAGTCATTAAAATTATCTTGTCACCAAAGATGTACCAGAAATAATATTTTTCATCGCTGTTTCCATCACATATTCGTGCATATGTAAAGGCATCGAAACTCAACGTGAAAAACCATACAACTTAAGTAGCCGTCTCTTACCGAATGTGATCTTCGTAGTTGGCTGGCAGGATGTTCATTCCAACTACAACATCCTGCGGTTATTCAATGAGATTATTTATTGATTTATTGATTACCGGTTTACAGGTAATTTTAAAAATTGGGTTAATTGGTAAAGCATCACTTGGGCGCCTTCCAAAACCTCGAAGGCAGAAAAAAACCTAAAACAAACTCCCCCTTTTGCAGTTGGTATTGGTATTGGTTTAGTTTTGTGATTGCTCAATAGTGGGTGAAATAGGGAGTTTGGTTCAAGTGAAAAAACTGAATTAAAAGGTGCGATAATAAAGAAAGATGTGTATAGTTATATATCGCACGATAATCAATATAATGACCCCACTTCAATAATCTTTTATAAATATGGTAAGGGTTTAATGTGTCAGGCTATCTGCTATCTTATCACCGGTTAGACATGCTCCCTTCTGAGGTGGGAACGCGACCCAGCATCTGAAGGGTGAATGAGGGACAGATTTTTCCTCACTTCTGAGATCTCTCAGCGCGCTGGTCTGTTTTGATCGTAAAACTTGGTAGCGATAAATTGGGCAGTGGTTTTAACTGCAGTTATAGCACAACTCTCCACTAGTGTTCAGTCTAAAATATCTTGATTTAGCCTTGCATTTTAATTTATCTTAATTAGGTTCAAGAAATGTTGGGTATCCCTCACAGTAAATGGACATCCTCATGCACTGTAACCCGAAACTCTAGAAGGTATTTTCTATTAGGAAAAAGTACTTAAGTTGACTGATGTGCAGCATAGTCCAAATATATTCCCCATTACATCAGAATGCCTGCTTTTGAACGAATTTCTTTCCATACCCCTGTAAAAAATTAAACTCGTTACAAAATGACTACTTATGTAGTGTGAATGTTTCCAACTGATTTTCAATGTTCTTACAAGTTCAAAGATTTTTTGTGTAAAACCTGCACCAAAATATTCTGTCTTGTACATATTTTATAGCATATTACGTCGTTCTCCAGATACCTTACTTTGAAAAAAGGTACTTATGGGCTTTCAAAGTTTATAATTTTGAGGCTTTTGAGGACCGTGCAATATCCATTCATAAAGCATTACGTCTGTACATTTATTAAAGCCAAATATAAAGTAAACAACATGGTCTACATCCATAACAATTTTTTTGATAACTTAATACCTTTTTACAAAAGCATGTAAAATTTTATCATTTCCGTACGCGGAAAACATACAGCTTCGAAACCTGGAAGGCAGGTGTGACAGCAGGTTGGGATTCAAAAATATTCATTTAATCCTAAAGGTACCTTCTCTTAGAGTATGCAGTCAAATAAGGCTTGCTTTGCTATAAAATAAGGAAACAGAATTTTGTATGTGTTTTCTCTCAATTAATATGGGACTTCATAATACTGAAGTAGTCGTTTCTACAGAGGGTATTTTTCGCGAGCATCCAGAAAGCAGCTCAGTCGTTAAGGACATACTTTGGGATTTTGCCGCACAATAATTAATATAAGAACATTACTTAAGCAATATTTTCTAATCCAAAACACATTTCAGAATTGCGGTTTACAATTTGTGGGATACCACATATACTACAAAGAACTTTTTGGCCTGGGTTAACGCCAGGTTTTTCTTGTACGGCTGAAAAGAGCAGTCAGGGTTATTGCTTTAATTGGCTGTTTTCAAATCTGCAGATCGCGCCTATGACGACGCCATGGAAGGTCTCTGTCTTAATGCAATGGCCCGGCAAAAGCGGATACGCACCTCCTTCAAGCACAGTCAACTTCGTGCCATGAAGGCCTTCTTCGCCATCAACCACAACCCCGACGGGAAGGACCTGAAGGTTTTGTCGGAGAGGACGGGTCTTTCCAAACGTGTGCTTCAGGTGAGTGCATACTGTCTTAGAGCCGAATTAAGGTCTCACGAAGAATAAACTTGAATAGCGCATTTAGGAGACAATTAGTACTTTCCCCTGTGCAGCAACAGGCTACTACGAAGGTCAGACTGACCGTAGTTGAGTTTTCACGGGCTGAAGCGATTGTATGCAGCCCTCCTGTTCCTAGCACGAAGCCGTCCTACTTCAAGAGGAATGTTGTTTAAAAACACCACAGAGCTAATTAGCGTTTTAACATGTGTGACGTCTTCTCAACTGTTAGAATGCGGCCAATCGCAGCTGTGCAAACACTATTGCAATAAGCGTGACTTAAACTGCCCTGCCTGCAGGTTTTCTTTTAAATGAAATCCGAGGGTTCATTGTACACTTGCTGATGCGAGATTTAGGGCGAGCGAGAAAGTAGTTAGTGACCTAATGACCTTGTGACAGGGGAGAGCTGAAATGTTCCCAATTCTCGCTCAAAACGCGTGTTACTGGGGTGCAGCCAGGCTCGAAGGTTTGCTAAAACTCGGGAATCTGACCTCCTCCCCCCGCAATACAAGCGGTCTTGATCTAAATTCCAGGGGCGAGGACTACGATTAAGAGTAGGATTAAAGTTAGCTTATGGTTCGGGTTACATTTCGCATTTGGCGTACCTCTAGGGTTAGAAGTAGGACACCCTTTTTGGAATTCGGCGGAAGGGCTTACCGAATAGCTCAACTTGCTCTATGCAAACTACTGGATCTCGTCTGGTACAGGCGGTCTTGATCTAAATTCTAGAGCGAGGGCTACGGTTAAGACTAGGATTAAAGTTAGCTTAACGTTCGGATTTGGGGTAGTGCTAGGGTTAGATGTAGAACACCTGTTTGACCGTCGCTCTCAGCAACCTTACCGAATAGATCAACTCGGTCTACGCAAACCACCGGATCTCGTCTGCTACCATCAACCACATTAACCACCAGCACCACAACCATCACCATCAGGACACTATTGAACCCACTTTAGATGGTGTGTTTAGAATTTTTTATACGGTTGCTTCCAACAAAGGTTGCTCCCTCAAGTGGCTACTCGCATCACGTGTGGTCAGCTGATGGTTGTTTACATGCTACCTGACGTCAATGAATGATGCCCCTTCAAACGCCCCACCTCTCCCTGCCATACTCTTATAAGTGATGTTTGGGACAAAATGTGTGTGTGTGTGTGTGTGTATGAGAGAGAGAGAAACGCTTTATTTTTAAAAATGTTCACCAAAACAACCTTCATTAATCATGAATAAAATGAAGTCCACAAACGAAATAACACTGGGAGACCAAAAACAGTGCATAACTGTCAAACACTGCAATTGCCATTATCATGAAAAATCGTCCTCTAATGAGTCGCAAAATTCAGGCAAAATTGGACTTAAACGGTGCTGGCATCGTGTCTTAATGCGTTCCTTGTCGCGGTTCGAATAAACAAAGAGGGGTTTAAAAATAGGCATATAATGGGTGCAATTGGCCTGCCGA